CCACTGGGCAGCCCTCATCCTATGTGTTTGAAACAAACAACAGAATCTCAGAAAATATATTTAAATGAAATAAATGGTAGATAACAAAAAAAAATGTGTAAACGTATGAACCACCTCAAGAATAAGGTACTCAGTTTGCCAGATTTTAATGTACAAAAGCACAACGGGTTTTGCCTTTCTATATTATAATTATAGAACGATTGCCTTTCTATATTACAATTATAGAACGATTTACAGTCTTTTACCGACATAAAGACATCGTATGAACAATGTGCTCTCTGGCTGGAGAAAATAACAAGTGTATTAGCATAGCACGTGCCTTCATGGGCCATGAACATTTTTAAAATGCTCTGTCCATACAACAATCATCCAATGCACAATGTTGCTCTATATTATTTACAAGAGGTCTCTTCAACATGGTCAATGTTTTATCTTCAATTTCCAATCAACCTTTCCGGAGCAATCATATTTAAACAAATGAGCAATCATTACAGGCCAAGAATCGTGTTTACGTACAGAACATTTACGCCGTCGTTGTGGGGCTTTCTTAGCAACAATATCCTGGGCTGGAGCTTAGTATAAAGGTCCATATTGACAAAACCAAGGTACAGTACTTTGTGGAAACTGTTTGTAAGAATCAACAATGTCACCACTCTAGGCATCAAATTATGCCTGAAGCGGTTTAGAAGAGTAATAGGCCTAATTACGAATAAGTGCCCACTTCTTCTCCATCAGATTATTTTTTCTTTTGAGCGAGTAGCTGGTTCAGTAGGCCTATTGCAGCAATAATCAATCTAAATTACAATATACTGTTTTAATACACATACGGGGTTCCCGCATCGTTGTAATTGAAGCTCCGATTATTCTGTAAGAAATAAAAAATTATAGAAAGATAAATACAATTGTATTAAGACGTATCCGTTACGCCCTCAATCATAATTGCAATTCAGTGAGGCGAGTGTACATTGTTGTCTGCAACTTTGCATTTTTCACATACACGAGGCAACGATGATGCAGTATCTCGTCACCAGTAGGAACACTTGGTGGCGGAACCAAATCTTGGCCAGAGGAATTTGTAGAAATAAAGTCAACTCTGTTTTTAATCGTTGTTATTTGTTCTTTTTAAATTTCTTTAGCTCATAAAGACTGAGCGCAATATTAACTATATAAATACATAGTTATAAATATTATCTATATATGATAAAAATAATATATTAATTATTATTGTTATATTATTTTTATCATCAACCTCATCATCATCCTCATCAACAACAACAACGTCATTATCACCATCATCATCATATAGGCCTACTTCATATTTTATTGTTGTTATTCGTTCTTTTTAAATTTCTTTATCACATAATTAGAGTGCAATATTGACTATATAAATACAAATTTATAGTTATGAGACATATTTTTTCTAATATATGGTAAACAGTTCTACATTATTATTATTACTATTATTATTATTATTATTAATATTATTATTATTATTATTATTATTATTATTATTGTAATCATCATCATCTTCATGTAGCTCTTCATTTTTCCATTAATCACCACCGTGCTTCAATTTTTAATTGTACATCGAGGCACTTCATCAAGAATACAAAGTTCCTTAATAATTCCATCATCATTTTTATGGTTTAGGATGTTCCATAACTGTGCATTGAGACCACAATAGTAGGTATTGGCAATCGAAATAAATTTATTTGAATTGGCAAATTAGTCCGACGACTTTGTCAGGGCGTCAGGCGATAATAATAATATAATATAATAATAATAATAATAATAATAATAATAATAATAATAATAATAATAATAATAATAATAATAATAGTGTACATTTATAATGCGAAAGTATCCATCAAAGATGCTCATGGCGCAAAACAGAAGTCGAGAGAGTTATTATCAGTTGGTAGTCTTAACTACGAATAAAAAAAAAAATAATAATAATAACCTAATATCTACAATGAGGCGTCCATGCTCGTCCGACAGTCCCTGTTCCCTACCTCACCGGCTGACACCACCCCTGCTCTCGAATAAACGCCTCTCTCAAACTACAACCTAACTAAAGCCTAGAAAACGAGTGTGTGAGGTCAGTCATTTCCAGTTCTAATGTACTTTTTTTTAGAGCGAAGGGACTGCGACATTGTGTATAGACCCAATTGTTAAAATTTTCAAAGAATAATGTGAAGCGCTTAAGATGTTTAGACGTAGCTGCTTATATGAATTGCCAGCAAATAATTTATGGTTTTCCACTTATTTTTTTCTTGTTCTTATAACGTACGGTAGTACCGTACTATAGAACGATAAAAAAGGACAGTAAACCCGCACAAACACATGACTATTAAGAATAATGTGGTTTGTGTTTTAAAAAAATAAAAGGAGAAAGCTGATCGAATAAGAATAGCATTAATCAGTATAGCCCTAGACAATGCTTTACATCATGTTTCATTGATATCAACACGGAGACACACGTGTTTAAATACCATGTTAACATGGTTAGTTTGTTTTTTATGTTCTGGTGATTTTTGATCTGCGTTTCCATGGATTCAGGAAATGCGATATTAAAGTAGCTATTCAACGAACACTAAAGCAGCAATTCTTAAGCTTTGCACACTATCAAATTTACTTTCACCAAAAAAAAAAAAACCATTGTAGACCTATCTACCTATGTCCGTAGTCATGATGTGTTGAAATTGTGTCTATGGTGTGATGTCATCATGACCATAATTAGGCATCCCACATAGTCTGGACAGGGTTTAACGGTCAGGGGTCAGCAAGCATTCGTGTATAAATATAGATGAGGCTTTCCGGTTATCGTCAAGGAGAGAATGGATAATTTTTAATGTAAACTCCGAACAACAATATCATTAAATGTGGATCCAAACAAAATCGTGACGTAAACTCGTGAAAAAACTGTTTTAATGCATATTTTACCTCAATCATTCTGAAAACAATAATGAAAAAAAGTGTAGTGTAAACGGGACTAATTGAGTACGGTGTATTTATGTAAATATATATATATTATTATGTAGGCGAATTTATTGTCCTAAAGAAATATGTGTGTGATTCAACTGAATCTATTGCAATTCAATTAAGTATATTCAGTGTTTCTTTTGATTCAACAGTTACGTTAGTCTTGCTTCCTGTTCACCTGTTTGGTAATCCGTTATGTCTTCTTCACAAATCAATACAATCTACAGTATTTCTGTGCAGTTCGACTAAAATTGTAATAATAGAGCAGATTGAGAATACTGAACGAGGTTTCTATAAATATTTAGTCTCTTGCAAGTTTCATAATATTAAAACAGAAATTTCGCGAGCAAGGTAATTTCTTGTCTTGTCATGAGTTTTCTTGTGTCAATTCAATTCACTAGCTTCAAATGCTTAAAATACTATGAAGGGCCAACATCC